TCCCAGAAATGTGTATCAATATTTATACCTACATGTTTCTGGCTGTGAGTATGTAGTTCAGAAAATTTAGAGAGCCACTGATTTAAAGATTAGGTCCCTCTAGATCAGAGATTTAGATCCAAGGTTTCATTCCCCAGACTTAAAAAGAAATCCTTGAAAGGAATGGGCTGAGAAAGGTTCTGAGTAAGCCCGTGTGGGGTAGACACCACTTGAGCAAAGGCCTCTGGCCTTCGAGGGATAGAATCACCAATAACAGCAGCATAGCCCAGACTGAGGCCCAGGCTCTGGACACAGATGCCCCAGCAAGACCCCCTGGGCTGTGTGGCTACATCCAGGGGGAAGAAAGGCAACAGTTCCACACGCTCTGCTCCTCTCAGCACTTTCCTGGGCCAACCATAAACAAAAGAGAATTTTCTTTTCTATTCTTAAATATTTTCATTTATTTCAGAGAGGAAGGGAGAAAGAGATAGAAACATTAATGATGAGAGAGAATCATTGATTGGCTGCCTCCTGCACAACCCACACTGGGGATCAAGCCCACAACCTGGGCATGTGCCCTGACTGGGAATCGAACCCTGACCTCCTGGTTCATAGGTCAATGCTCAACCACTGAGCTGTGCTGGCCGGGCAAGAATTTTCATTTTTAAAAATACAGGACCCCAATCTATAAAACAGAGTTGAATGAAGATGTTTTGTTAATGGAGTATATAGGGAAAATCCCGCTCTGGCCCCAGCTATGGTCCTAGAGGCACTTCTGCTTTATTTGGTCTTTGTTTGAGAGCTCTTCAGAATTTTCATGTTTGATAGGTTTTATCTATTGAAGTGTCCCTGGCCCTTGCTGTCATTTCATAACTCACAGCCCCAACTAACAAAACATAAGGCTGAAAACCTTGATGTGGACCAGTCAGGACTCTGCCTGAGGTCAAGGAAGGAGACCAATGACCAATCAGTGCTAACTTCAAGAGACAGAGGGACGTCTCTGTGCCTACAATCTCAGGAAAGCAGTGAGAAGAGTTTCAATTACATAGTCTCATGCTGCCCTCCACAGTTCCATTGCTCTCTCCAGAGGCAGCCCCTGTCGTGTATCTGGTGGACATTTCCCAGTTTAAATAATCTTATGTGTGCATGTCCATAAGCAATGGATAGCATTGCTCTGGGGGATTTTTTTTTTCTTCATTGACATTCAACTACTACGAGGTTCACGTTCTTCTACAATGTGTCACTCATTGTTTTTTAGATGTACCCATTTTATATATGCTCATTTATGCACGGTGCTGTATAGACTGCAACACATGGATATTCCGTAAACTTTCCCAAATGCTGTCATGATAAGCATCATTGCTATGAGCATTCGTGGACGTGTCTCCTTGGGTTCATATGGGAGTTTGCTCAAGGTATAGTTGGAAGTGGAATTGCTGAGTTGTCATATACACACATTTTCAACTTAATTAGTTATTGCTAACCTCACATCCCAGGATAACCAGTATCGGTATTTCAGGACATGTGCTTGAAACTTCATACACCTGTGCACATGCACATACATACATGACTTTACAGAATAGAGAGACAGTAAATCTATCTCGTGCTTTAGGATGGGTCGCAGAGGGCTGTTTTCTGCATTAATTGGCCAGTACTCAACTGGTGGGCATCCGGGAGTTTCCCTCTTTACATTCTTTCAAGCAACTTTGTGCATAAATACACAAACACGCTAATTCTAGTACATGTGCAGAAGAGATCGTGTCTGCTGGGTCCACCTCTCACTTTACAAAGGAGAAAAGGCTGAGTCCCAGAGAGCTGGGGTGAGGAGCTCGGCCATGAACCCTTCATCAAGTGAAAAACCAAGGGGCTGGGGGCCTGGGTTTCCTACCATCTGGTCTCCAGTTCTTTAAGGGGGCACTTGCTCTGCTTAGAGAGAATCAAACATCAATACACAGTATTCCAATACACCATCATCTCCATTTACACTGTAGAATTTGTGATTATAAAGAGGCACCCTCCACAGACAATAGGGTAGTGAAGGCCTGGGGTGGGGGCAGGCTGGAGGGGGTCAATGGGGGGAAAAAAGGAAAAGTATGTAATACTTTCAACAATAAAGAATTATTTTAAAAAAACAAAACAATAAAGATTTAAATAAATGAATGAATAAATAAATAAATAGGCACTCTGGGTTTCATAAAAGTCATGTCAAGTCCTACTGTTCCTGCATGGAAAGGAGGTGAGGCAGCCAAGTCCTGCCCCTGACCCTTCAGCCCCAGAAGGCTGCAGGAGTCAGCCTCTGGGTCCCATCCTTAGTCCAGGCAACTCACATTCACAGAGGCCAAATGCAGATGGGCTCTCAGGACTCTGCCTGAGGTCAAGGAAGGAGACCAATGACCAATCAGTGCTAACTTCAAGAGACAGAGGGACGTCTCTGTGCCTACAATCTCAGGAAAGCAGTGAGAAGAAAAAGAGCCTGTCCCATACCTAGTGCTCTCCAGCAAACTTATTCACCTGCCTGTACTACAAGCCAGGCATCCAAACCCAACCTGATTTCAAAAAACCTCAGCTGGGCCCGGCCAGGGTGGCTCAGTGGTTGAGCGTTGACCTATGAACCAGGAGGTCATGGTTCAATTCGTGGTCAGGGCACATGTCCAGGTTGCGGGCTCAATCCCCAGTGTGGCGCATGCAGGGGGAGGGCGATCGGTGATTCTCTCTCATCATTGACGTTCCTATCTCTCTCTTCTTCTCCCTTCCTCTCTGAAATCAATAAAAATACATTTTAAAAAATCTCAGCTGAGCATGTGCTGTGCTCTCTGCTCGTGCTCACATACAGGATGGATCCGTGCGGTCTTGATGCCTGACCTGTGGCATAGATGAGTTTGAACCCTGACTCAGCCCCTCATTATCTCTGTGGCCTTCGGCGAGTTATTTGATCATCCAAGCTTCAAATTCCTCACCTGAAAAAATTATAGATAAAACTGGTACCTACTTCCTTGTAGGGTCTAGTGAAAAGTAAATGAGTTAATGCACGTAAGAGTTCAGAAAAGCCCTTACCCATACTATAGATTTAGTAAATATTCTGGGTACTGGTTTAGTGCTAATGCCTGAAATAAAGACAAGGTTTCTGGTCCTAAGAAGGTAAATTTATCAGAATGTCAAATAGAAACAATAGAAACAGGTGTGGCCACCAGTCAGAGGGAGCGGCAGGTACCAAAAACGTGCCAATACCGAGGGCATATGAGGGATACTCAAGAACTAGGGGAGGCCCTCACTCAAGGAGCTCTTTGAAGGGCTCAGACACACACAGAGAACAATCCTGAACAAGGTCACACCCTCAGGTCCAGGCTGGGCCCAAGGCCTTGGCAAACACATACTTATTTTAGTAATCACAGAAAGGTACAAAGTCTTGTTAGACAAACTAGGTCCTTTAGAGGTTTTCAGGCACATAAGCCTCAAGGACACGGGCTTGGAAATGGACATGGAAATACCGAAGGCACGTGGCGTGTGAGCAAGCCCTGTCCCACGCCCTTCCCCACCCCCATCCTCAGGCCTTCTCTGCAAATGCCTCACTAGTGTCCGGCTTCTTGGCTCTCTTCTCCCTCAAGTATTCAGACTTCCTGGTTCTCCCACTGCCCTGGCAGCTGCTCCTTGGGCTCTTTCTCCCACCCTCTAGAAGTGGGTAGCTGTCCCACACCCTTCACCCTTCATGGCCCCACAGATACCTCATCTCTAAAATGGAGGTTAAATGAAACAATCTGTGTGATACAACTTAGCTCTGTTCTCTTCTCTGAGGATGCTGCCATCCCCAGACAGCGGGGCCCAACATCCTGGCATCACTTTCAATCCTCTCTGAGCCCTGCCCGCCATATCCCACCTGCGCCACTGTCCTGTGCTCTACCGGCTGCTTCACCCCTCCCACACTCTGCATGTACTGCTGATGCTACCTGCTACACCAAGACAGTTCTCCCATCCCTCAAAACCTTTCAGCTACTCCCCAGTGCAGACTGAAGAAAGACTCAATGTCTTAGGCAGGCATGCAAGGCCTTCTGTGATCCAGCCCCAGCCCACCTTCCAACTTCAATCCACCGTGGCCCTTTGCTCCAGTTTGATTCGATCTGCTGGGTGCTGCACCATGAAACAGGAATTCTGTATCCAAATAAGGGGCTTAAACAAAGCTTGACCAATTCTCATTGCACAAGTTCAGAGCCTTTAATACCTTGATATGCACTGTGGCTCTTCACATTCTCCTAGGTTTATTCAGACTTGTAATATTCTATTTTCATGGAGTTCAAGAACAATCTAGGACAATCTGTACCATGTTGTTTCTCCAGCAAGACTTTGGAATGTGCCAGTCAGGTGGGCCAGAGATAGCGTGGCCCATGGCCATGACCATCTTAGGCACGTTTGTTGTTCGTGACCATCGTTGAGTAGAATCTCAGCAGGACCATAAAATCACAAACTGAGCCAAGCAGCCTTTCTCAGCACACGAATGAGAAACAAATACCTGACAGAGAGGCCCCGGTTGGGCTGACAAGGATATACTTCTGCCTTAACTGCCAAGGCTGCCTGCTTTCCCAGTCTTCCTGACTAACCCATCCCACAGACTTCGTTAAAATTCCCTGTATGCTTGCCCTGACTGGTTTGGTTCAGTGGATAAAGCATCGGCCTGTGGACTCAGGGGTCCCAGGTTCGATTCCGGTCGGGGCATGTGCCTTTGTTGCAGGCACATACCCAACGGGGTGTGTGCAGGAGGCAGCTGATAGATGTTTCTCTCTCATCGATGTTTCTAACTCTCTATCCCTCTCACTTCCTCTCTGTAAAAATTCAATAAAATATATTTTAAAAAATAAGAAATTCCCTGTATGCTTAAATTAGCCAGTGTTGATTTCTGAGGCCTCAAACCAAAGAACCTTCACTGATATACAGTTCTCTAGGTCCCTGAGCAAAGCCATCCAAATATCCCACCAGCAATGGAGCAGCCAGAGCCATGCCCTCCACCACGCAGCCCCAAAGGGCAGTACCTGTCCCGTCCGGAGTAGACCTCACGAAGGTGGGCAGCATTTTCACTGAAGCAGTGGGGTGGGTGGTAGCTCCAAGCCCTTTCTCCATCTCCTTGCGAAACCGCTTAGAGATCTCCAGAAGGGTCTCATCAGAAAGACGCATGTGATAGAGATACTGGTCAACCTGCAGAAGGGGGAAAACAAGGATAGACACCTATAAGTTCAATAAAGTACGGTATGCATCTATGTCATAGAACATCACTCAGCCCTTCAAAAGAATAAAATCTGTCATAAACAGAAGGTTATTATGTAAGACCATTTAACCAGAATCTGTTTTTTAGGACTTTATATTTTAAAAGAAACTGAACTAAAAATTGAAATTAGAAAAAATAGGTTTAATTTTATTTCTGGAGGAAAGGGCTATTAGGGAAAAGGAGAATTCTTTTCAGAAAGATTGAGTGTTAATGTCTAAGACATCCCTTGAACCGGAGGTCTTTACTGACCCTCATCTCTTGTTCCCCCACACACACCTCACAAGGCCAGTCATGCCAATCCTATCACCCCTCAATTTAGGCCAAGCAGCCGTCACCTCTTGCCTGGACTTACACAATCCCCAATTCTACTTTTATCTCATCCATCCACTTTCCACCCCCAGCAGACTTGGCTATTGTTCCCCTGCTTAAAATCTTTCAATGGTTATCCATTAGAACCAAACTCCTTGGAAACCCTTCCTAGGCCCTATAGCAGCGGTTCTCAACCTGTGGGTCGCGACCCCTTTGGCGGTCGAACGACCCTTTCACAGGGGTCGCCTAAGACCATCCTGCATACCAGATATTTACATTACGATTCATAACAGTAGCAACATTACAGTTATGAAGTAGCAACGAAAATAATTTTATGGTTGGGTCACAACATGAGGAACTGTATTTAAAGGGCCAGAAGGTGGTCATGGTTTGATTAGGGTCTGGCCTCCCCCCACCTTCTAATCTCATTTCGTGTCTCTTCACTCCTGTGCAGACTTTATCCTCAGTTCAGTCCCCAACTCACCCAATTCACACTTCCTACCCTGGAGCCTGTTCACAAGGGCCCTACGCTCCTTACCTCATGCTTCAGCTGCCATCGGATCTCTTACCAATCTTTGAAACCTCTCTCCATGGAGGCCTTCTCCCAACAAAATAGTCAGGTCTCCCATTATTCTAAGAACTCAGACCTTTCTCTTCACAAAACCATCCGCAATTTGTTAATATATATTTAATAGTGTCCAAATATAAGCACCAAGGGCAAGAAGAGCCACGTCTTTCTGCTCCCTGCATCCCTGGAGCCTCACACAATGCCTGATGCACAGTAGAGACTCCACATAGGTAGTTATGCAACCTCTCTTCCCCTCAGAGGCAACTTTCCATATTTATTTCATTGATCTTGTTTCCAACATAAATTTACATGAACTTTTCCCAGATTTAAAACCAGGAGAAGCATCAGGAGTCCTTCTCACACAGTTTCCTTCTTGGAAGCACCTGTTTGCTTTGGCCATAAATATTCCGTTTTCTCCTACTAGGAAAAGATTGGATAGAAATCCATCCAAGAAGGCATACAGGTTGCCACAATATCCCTGTTCTCAGCAACAGTGTACACGACAGGGGAGGCTGCTGGCCATGGAGGGTGGGGCTAGAGAATCAGGAACGTTGGACCAGGCCCCAGCTGTGCCCTCAAGGTGTGAAGAGGGCGGGCCTCCCAGTCCCATCAGCAAACTGAGGGACCAGACGGAACCCTGCTCCTCCCAACTCTGAAACTCCAGGATTCCCAAAGGCAAAGCTTGGCTGATGACGACCACCACTGCTATTCCAGATGGTAACACAGGTCGGTGCCCACTTGCCCTTCACCCTTACCCAAGTCTGACAAAGAAGCATACATTTTTATTAGCTTTCCCAAAGTCCTAATAATATTATAGCCTGTTATAGTTTCCAGCCTTTTGAGTCAGGTCTTCTTGGATTTCCTTTTAAACAAACACAGCCTAGGATTTCCAGAGAAACAGCAAGGGGTGTTTAATCCTTTAAGAAAAGGACAATCCCTTGTGTCTCCTTACTCGCATTTGCTCTCTTCCTGGACGTATCCTAATTCCCTATGGGTTTGTGCATGTCCTTCTCTTTGGGCCTGTAGAATAATGTTTCTGCCCCTGTAGAATAATGAGAGTGGCCTCCTGAGATCATTTCCAATATCCTGATCAGTACTCATCATTCACCATTCTCATAAAATCCCACAAGGTGAAGATCAGAGTCTGGAATAAAATGCTAAGAGCAGCTGTAAGCAAGGTGAAGGCGTTGATGAATTGGCCTACCCCTCCTCACGATGGCCATGTGGTTATAATACAGCAAAATCGGCAGCCACCATCCTCCCCTGGGGTGGGAAAGGGTGAGTAGGAGCAGAGAAGTGATAAAGGCCCTAGCCACTCCTCTCCCTCCGCAGCCAGCAGAGAGGTCCGGCTTGTCATGTTGCGTTTCCAATTTGCAGAAATGAGGATTTCCCAGAACTCCCTGTTGCCAGCATTTATTAAAGAGCTGCCCCAGAGTAAGTTCACCAATCTAAATCAGGAAGAATCCAACTGTCCATTCTGTTTTCTGATTTTAGGCTCCTGGCACCTTACTTGCCTTGAGCCCACTGTCTGCCTCAGCCTCCCAGGCTGTGTGGCACCAGCCTCAGCCCGAGCTGGGTCACTGATGTGGGGTCCCAGGGTGCTCCTGAGGGGGCCTGGCCTCCCCCACAATGTTGTTTGAGGCTTACCAGGAAGTCAAAGGTATAGCTTCAGACAAGTCCCCTCTCTGTTAGTGCCTGGGAGACACATCCCTGGTGACCCCGGGCCCAGGACAACTTTAATCATTGCAGAGGCTGCCTGTTCCAGATCCAATGACACCTGGCTTGGTCCAGCAACACTGCCTCATGGCTTAAGCATCTTGGTGTGAATGTACAAAGTCTGGGACCACCAGACAGAGGTCAACACCAGGCCACATCCAGGAATAGCCCGGGATGCCCTCATGGGCAATAGTCATAACAGCAAACCCTACGTGGCACTATTCTCAAGGTTTCACACCCATTAAGTCATTTAGTTCTCACAGCAGCTCTGTGAGATAAGTAGTGTTATAACCACCTTCTACCAAGAGGGAAAGGAACTGTGCCCAAAGTCACATAAACACAAAGAGCCAAGCCAAGATTCGACTGGGCACTCGGCTCATCTGTGTTCTTGTCCACTCCGCTAGATGAATGTCCCTCTTCTGTTGGACAACAGCACGTCTATACAGGCCAAATGGCACTGTGGGACATTTAGGCTAACCACACCCATTAAAAGGCCATCTTCTGCCCCACTGGTGTGGCTCCCTGGTTGAGTATTGACCTATGAACCAGGAGGCCATGGTTTGATTCCTGGTCAGGGCATATGCCCAGGGTTGCGGGCTCAATCACCAGTAGGGGGCATGCAGGAGGCATTAGGCTAACCACACCCATTAAAAGGCCATCTTCTGTCCCACTGATGTGGCTCCGTGGTTGAGTATTGACCTATGAACCAGGAGGTCATGGTTTGATTCCAGTCAGGGCATATGCCCAGGGTTTTGGGCTCAATCACCAGTAGGGGGCATGCAGGAGGCAACCGATCAATTATTCTCTCTCATCATTGATGTTTCTATCTCTCCCTTCCTCTCTGAAATCAAAATATATATTTTTTTAAATAATAAAATAAAATAAAACAAAAGGTCATCTTCTCTTGCCACCAACCCCTGGATGCAGACACGAAGAGCAAGCAGGCGCGGGCACAGCCCATAGGGCTGGCCTGGCAAGTCAGAAGGAAGCAGGAGAGTTCCTGCATGGGAGAGAAGAGCCTGTACCACAAACATGTCAAACTCAAAGGTTAACATGGGCCAAATAATCGAAGTTTAAGTTTATGTGGGACGCAAAAAAAACAAAAGCTTCAATTTTCATAGAAACATAGGTTTATTTCGATAGAGACATGCTGAATACAAAGGGCTGAAATAAATGAGTAGTCGTTAACATAAAATAATAGAACATTTTAATAAAAATTAATATTTTTTCTTGAACATTAACTTACCAGACACTGAATAACTGCACAAATTAATAAGCGTAACGCAAATAAACCTATTTTTCTTGTTCTCCGAAAGCGAAATATTTCCTGTTGCGCACACCAAACAAGTCAGTACAAGACTA